GGCGGCCGCCAGGGTCCGCGGGGCTGACATCGCAGCGGCTCTGTCCGCGCCCTCCCGCACCGCAATTCTCCCCACCTTCGCCGACACACCCCCGCCGCTCATTCAACCGGCCCACCAATCACCCGCCTCTTCATTAGCGTATTCATGAGGCCGGAGAATATTAACGAGTGGCGCGGTGGTGGGGGTTGTTCGTCGCGGATTGGCTGCACGGGTGGAGCGGCCTGGTGATTGGCTGCGGGCGAGTGAGGCGAGCGGCAGGGGATGCTGCGGCTTAGTGGCCCCCGGGCGGCGCCCGGGGGCGGCGGGGATGGGGAGTTGCGCGCGCCCGGCTTTCCCAGCACCCTCGGGTGCTAAACCCGGTCCCTAGTAGCATGCCACCCACTTGAGCACTTGGGCATCTCACTTCTTCTCCAATGCCTGATGAAGCGTGTTTGTGCCCGAAAGCTTGCAATTCAAGACTTTTTTTTGCAAAAGTCTTGTTGCAAAAAAAAAAACTCATATCTTTTTTTGGATCAAGTATCTAATAAAAGAGATCATCTCTACTAGGAGTCCTGATTGCTTTTTCCAGTCCCCGGGTATTGCGGGGGCAGTAGGTGTACTTCACAATCCGGGTTTTTAAAAAAAAAATTAAAAAGATGCCGCTTTTATTGCCTTGCATAAGTTGGCCGACCCTCAAGTCTTTCCAGCATGCACGGGGAATGCAGTCTGGGGGGCCGTGTGTCTGCTAATCGTATGAAGTCCGGGGTTAAATGTCTCCGATTCCTAGCAGAGAAGACCCCTGTTTCGAGGGGGTCTGAACTCAAACCGGCTGCAATCAAAGGGAGTTTTTCAGTTGACCGGCCAGCTGTTCACGTGCCAGGTTTTATTCTCCCTGATTTTGCTATCGGGATCATAGGCCTGGAAAAGAGATGATTTTTAAGTACAGGCAGTCCTCGGACTTACGACACTGAAAACCACGTCTTAAGTCGAAATGTAACTTGGAACCGATTTTCCCATAGGAAACAATGTTATATATGGGGGGGTTGATTCCCATAGCCCGATGCCCTATTCTCACCAAAAATAACCCAGAATTTTGTACTCAATCAATTATAGATGAGTAATATAGCTACATTAATGTATTTATATTGTAGCTAGCAATCATATTGATTTGGAAGGACTTCTTTGAGGTGACTTTGCTGGACTTTTTGAAGGGCTCTTGGCTGGAGTCTTTTCAGGAGTCGTTGCTGCAGGTTTATCTGGAGTCTTGTCTGCTTTCTTAGTGTCCAAGGAAGTCTGGACAGATGTTTTCCAGGGAGATGTGCGACGCAGCAAACTTGTTTGCCGGCGTTGCGTCGCATCAAGCATTGTAAAGTCGAAACTGAGGTCAGAAAGTTGAAACACGCTATCAATTTATAAACGTTATTAGTGCAAAACATTGTAACTCGAAACGTTGTAAGCTGAGGACTGCCTGTACCTTTGATTCCTTATGTTAAACCTCTGTTAAAAGGATGCTGCAGCCTGCAGGCAAGAAAGAGCGTTTTTCCCCCTGTAGATTGTAAGGCTGGAAGGGACCTTGGAAGATCATTGGGTCCAGCCCCCTGCACCATTTTTTTGTTTTTAAGGAAAAATTGTTGTGTCCCAAGTCACAGCGGCCAAACCAATTCCAAATCCGTGAGTCATTCAAGGACTATACGTGGCCCTACTACCAGCAAACATCCTCCACCGCTGCCTGGGGCTTCAGATGCTTCCAAATCCTTTGGCGGACATCCTGCTTGCAGGCCGGAGCTTGGAGGCCCGGGGTTCGGATGCCCCTGCGTTTCCTTTGCCTTCAGCTGTACGCCTACAAGAGTTAGGGAAGAGCTCTTCAGAGCCAGCATTATGGGTCAGTGCACAGGCTAAAGGGCTTGATCTTACTGCATCTGCTCTCACAAATGCTCCTGGGAATAGTCTCATTTTAAATGGGATTGCTCAATTGTGTAAAGCACACGTGCATCAATGTCTGTGGGGTCGAGGCATAAGAAACAATTAGTGTAATTAAACTTTATACAGGGGTGTAGGTTGTAGCCGTGTTGGTCTAAGGACATAGGCAGACAAAGTTATTTGGATGAATCTGATATCTTTTATTAGACCAACTTAAATAGTTGGGGGAAAAAAAATCTCTTTGCAAGCTTTCGGGTTGAGAAACCCTTCATCAGGCTGAGGAAGCATCTGCAGTTGGTGTGTGTTCTTCCTGGATGGAATAAATAGTGAATTCTTCCTTAACAATATTCCCTTTTCCCTTTCTTTTTCTCTTCCCCAGCCCCCTTCTCTATTCCTCCTCTCAGTCTCTGTGTCCTTACTTTCCCAGGCTCTGGTTTCAGTCCCACTCCTTCCAGCTCCAAGCTCTACCTCTCCTATGACCTGTGTTTTACCTCCTTCCTTCCTTCCCTTAAAATACCAGATCCTTCTCCCCTGAGCTCAGCTGTAGCTATCTTTGATGGTTATAGAAAACCCATCAACAATATAGTATGTAGGCTGATCCCTTGTTCAATTTAGGTCCATCTTCTTTTTTCTCCGGCTCTTGATCAGTTTTTGTCCCACTGAAAGAAAAAGAAAAAAAACCTGTCTGGAAAAAATACAATGTTCATCAAATACCGTTGAGACCATTTTGCTGCTAAGAAAAAAATACGGGTCCTTAAAAGCTCTTGCCTGTAGTTTTCAATGTGAGAGTGATGCTCCATTAATTTTGTCTCTGTT